GGCGGCCTGGGGGGCAATTGCCTCCCTGCCCCCCGGCCCAGCCCGCCCCTGAACAGAAACAAAAGTGATTTAACTCCTAAATGGCAGAGACTATAAACTAACCTGGTTACACCGCCCTACCCCCCTACCCCGCCTGTCAATCAGTCAACCAATCCTGTTACTTCCTGGTTTGTTTAGGTCAGTGGAGTAAAACTCATGAGGCAGCAATTGCCCAGAGCACCTGCCTTGCAAAGACTACTCATAGAGTTACATTGGAACGTCTGTGATTGGACAGACACAGAAAGTCTGGGCGGGGGTTAGAAGAGGATGGCTTGTAAAGGCTGCAGACAAGAGATCTGCAGCTTTTGCAAGCTGTTTTTAGATAAACTCCAATAAAAAAAAAGCATAATTAAATACATGCGTGTTTTTACTGGGGGTATATAAACTAAACAGTGATTTTTTTTATTTTTATTTTTATTTGGGCAGTGAAGAGTCCCATTATTATTTAGAGCAAGTGATAGTCCTTTACAATTGCTTGGGATGTAAAGAGTTAGTTGGACTTTCATAAAGTTCTTAAGAAAGAAGAGAGATAAGAAACTGTAACGATTTCATTCCTCTCGTTTTTTTTTCTGGGTCTCGAGTTCTTTAATGATGCATAATATATGGGACAGAATGACACACGGAGGCTGCAGCAGCCAATCACGCCACTCTTTTGTCAGCCAATTTAATAGCGAAAATGCTGAGTTCGTGTTTGATTAATAGATCTCTTTAATGTAAGTCAGATTGTTTCTGGCCTTCGTTAATGACATCATAGATGCAAAGCGTTCTTGTAATTAAGTAAAATACCCTTCGATCTCTAAATAGTTTCATTTTAACTGCAAATAGAAAAGAGAGAGTTGTCTGGCTTGCACCGGTGCCCAGGCCGAGTCTTTGGGCATGTCTGCCGATAAGGAGGGGGATGAATAATACTCGGGGCCGAATGAATGGTTAGACTCATTCATTCATGTGGACTAAATTACCCAGGATGCACTGACAAGGGAAAGGTTAACTAGCACCCTGCTCTAGTCACTCTATATTTTCCTGGCTAGATGGCTGTATTCTAAATTAGATCACTGCACAGCCAATCAGAAATAAGAGAATGGAAACGCAAACGTTTATTGGCTGCGTAGAGATTGCGCTTATAAACTGTGCTGCGTGCATAGCTTGCATGCCCAGTCTGTGATGTACAGAGGCTAAGCGGAGGAAAAGTTTAACATTTTTATATTATACATTGAACGCACCATGTATCGTTAAGCTGTACGGTGTGTTCCATGTAAATGGGATTGAATTAAGGCAAGTTTTTTTTCCCATAACAGGTTCACTTTAAAAAGGTCCAGGTGGGAAATCAGTTCGTAGATCGGAAAGAAGTCTTAGAGCAGGCTTCCCCAAACTCCCGCCCTTCAGATGTTGCTGAACTACAACTCCCATGATTCTATGAATTAAATAGACAGGCTCAGAATCATGGGAGTTGTAGTTCAGCAACATCTGGAGGGTCGGAGTTTGGGAAAGCCTGTCTTAGAGGATATCAATGCTAAACACTGCAGGCCAGCACTTTTCATGTACACCCCTTCAGCACGAAGAAGGGATAATGTGTGCAGGGAAACACAAAGAATCTGGCAGTCTTAGAGAAGCCTCTTGGGAAATAAAAAAATGCTCCCCTACCAACCACCATCTCAAAATACACTCGGCAGCCAGCGTGGTGAGCTATTAAGCCTTCAGCGAAGTTTCACTGGGCTTTAAAGCTCACAGCTGCAGTTCTGTGAGAATATGGGAGAGGAAGGGTTAAAGGGCTGTTTTAGTGTTGCTCTCACAGACGGGAATATTTATTTAACTTTGAGTTACTGAGTAAGAGTCCCTCCTCCTCTCGGGTGGCTGTCTCCCCAGGGGTTCTGCCCCAGTTTCTCGTTCATGCCTAGAAGGCTTTGCAGCTGCTGCTGCTGTTCTGAGCTTCATAAATCAAGAAAAATGCAAGCTCGGCAACAAATTTCCCAGGGTCCTCGCGGTATCATATTCTTCAGAGGGGAAGCAGCGCTCCTTAGATTTTATTTGGAGTTTACATGAATTTATTTCTTCTTTTTGCTGAAAAAGTGTTTTCAGAGAAATGGACAGCCTTCTCCGGAACTACCGATGTATCCAGAATTACCTTTTCCATAGCATCAGAGTAAAACAAGGCTTGACAAAATCGCTTTGAATCCAGGAGTAAGCTAAAAAAGTTATGAGCCATTTTTTTACAACGACAAAAATACAATTCTTAAAGGAACACTATAGTCACCAGAATGACTGCAGCTTAATGTAGTGGTTCTGGTGTCTATAGCCTGTCCCTGCGGGCTAGTTCTGGTGTCTATAGCCGGTCCCTGCGGGCTGGTTCTGGTGTCTATAGCCTGTCCCTGCAGGCTGGTTCTGGTGTCTATAGCCTGTCCCTGCAGGCTGGTTCTGGTGTCTATAGCCTGTCCCTGCAGGTTGGTTCTGGTGTCTATAGCCTGTCCCTGCAGGCTGGCTCTGGTGTCTATAGCCTGTCCCTGCAGGCTTGCCCTGCAGGCTGGCTCTGGTGTCTATAGCCTGTCCCTGCAGGCTTGCACTGCAGGCTGGCTCTGGTGTCTATAGCCTTTCCCTGCAGGCTGGCTCTGGTGTCTATAGCCTGTCCCTGCGGGCTAGTTCTGGTGTCTATAGCCTGTCCCTGCAGGCTGGTTCTGGTGTCTATAGCCGGTCCCTGCAGGCTGGCTCTGGTGTCTATAGCCTGTCCCTGCAGGCTGGTTCTGATGTCTATAGCCTGTCCCTGCAGGCTGGCTCTGGTGTCTATAGCCTATCCCTGCGGGCTGGTTCTGGTGTCTATAGCCTGTCCCTGCGGGCTGGTTCTGGTGTCTATAGCCTGTCCCTGCGGGCTGGCTCTGGTGTCTATAGCCTGTCCCTGCGGGCTGGTTCTGGGTTCTATAGCCTGTCCCTGCAGGGTTGGTTCTGGTGTCTATAGCCTGTCCCTGCAGGCTGGTTCTGGTGTCTATAGCCTGTCCCTGCAGGCTGGTTCTGGTGTCTATAGCTTGTCCCTGCAGGCTGGTTCTGGTGTCTATAGCCTGTCCCTGCGGGCTAGTTCTGGTGTCTATAGCCGGTCCCTGCGGGCTGGCTCTGGTGTCTATAGCCTGTCCCTGCAGGCTGGCTCTGGTGTCTATAGCTTGTCCCTGCAGGCTGGTTCTGGTGTCTATAGCCTGTCCCTGCAGGCTGGTTCTGGTGTCTATAGCCTGTCCCTGCAGGCTGGTTCTGGTGTCTATAGCCTGTCCCTGCAGGCTGGCTCTGGTGTCTATAGCTTGTCCCTGCAGGCTGGTTCTGGTGTCTATAGCTTGTCCCTGCAGGCTGGTTCTGGTGTCTATAGCCTGTCCCTGCAGGCTGGTTCTGGTGTCTATAGCCTGTCCCTGCAGGCTGGTTCTGGTGTCTATAGCCTGTCCCTGCAGGTTGGTTCTGGTGTCTATAGCCTGTCCCTGCAGGCTGGCTCTGGTGTCTATAGCCTGTCCCTGCAGGCTTGCCCTGCAGGCTGGCTCTGGTGTCTATAGCCTGTCCCTGCAGGCTTCTGGTGTCTATAGCTTTCCCTGCAGGCTGGCTCTGGTGTCTATAGCCTTGTCCCTGCAGGCTGGTTCTGGTGTCTATAGCCTGTCCCTGCAGGCTGGTTCTGGTGTCTATAGCCTGTCCCTGCAGGCTGGTTCTGGTGTCTATAGCCTGTCCCTGCAGGCTGGTTCTGGTGTCTATAGCCTGTCCCTGCAGGCTGGTTCTGGTGTCTATAGCCTGTCCCTGCAGGCTGGCTCTGGTGTCTATAGCCTGTCCCTGCAGGCTGGTTCTGGTGTCTATAGCCGGTCCCTGCAGGCTGGTTCTGGGTTCTATAGCCTGTCCCTGCAGGATGGTTCTGGTGTCTATAGCCGGTCCCTGCAGGCTGGTTCTGGGTTCTATAGCCTGTCCCTGCAGGCTGGTTCTGGTGTCTATAGCCTGTCCCTGCAGGCTGGCTCTGGTGTCTATAGCCTGTCTCTGCAGGCTGGTTCTGGTGTCTATAGCCGGTCCCTGCAGGCTGGTTCTGGTGTCTATAGCCTGTCCCTGCAGGCTGGTTCTGGTGTCTATAGCCTGTCCCTGCAGGCTGGCTCTGGTGTCTATAGCCTGTCCCTGCAGGCTGGCTCTGGTGTCTATAGCCTGTCCCTGCAGGCTGGTTCTGGTGTCTATAGCCTGTCCCTGCACGCTGGCTCTGGTGTCTATAGCCTGTCCCTGCAGGCTGGCTCTGGTGTCTATAGCCTGTCCCTGCAGGCTGGTTCTGGTGTCTATAGCCTGTCCCTGCAGGCTGGCTCTGGTGTCTATAGCCTGTCCCTGCAGGCTGGTTCTGGTGTCTATAGCCTGTCCCTGCAGGCTGGTTCTGGTGTCTATAGCCTGTCCCTGCGGGCTGGTTCTGGTGTCTATAGCCGGTCCCTGCAGGCTGTCTCTGGTGTCTATAGCCTGTCCCTGCAGGCTGGTTCTGGTGTCTATAGCCTGTCCCTGCAGGCTTTTTAATGATCGTAATCAATCGTAAACCCGTTGGGTCCAGGGGCTTTTCCTATCTTTCCTTTTTTTATTGCCCAAACCACCTCTTCCTCGCTGATAGGGGTGTTAAGGATGTCTCTTAGATCATTGATTAATCTAGGTGGGGAGAGTTCCAAATTCTTATCAGTAAGTACAGCTTCTTAAAGGGACACTCTAAAACACATAAACTCTGCTGCTTATACTCCTTATGGGTATGATGCAATCAGGGCCGGACTGGGAGAAAAATTCGGCCCGGGCATTTTTTTAACACAGCGGCCCACTAAAAAGGGGGCGGGGCAGAGGAGGTGTGTTTTGTCATCACCAATGACAAACACGCCTCCTCTCAAAGTGAGCA